TAAAGTTAAAACTTGAAGTGAAAAGGAGAGATTTAGAAATTGAAGGCAGTGACGGTAGCGGAGGGAGGAGACGCACAAATATGCTGCCCGTTGGTCCAAGAACCTGGGTAGGGAGTTGGCTATGTGCGTGTGTCGCTGCGCGTGTGTGTGCGTGTTATTGGTGAAGGGAAAGCTAGGAATTGATTGACTTGTATACGACTTGTCAGCAGCTGAAGACGCGCTGTTTTTGTGTTGTTCGCTTGCACGCTAGTTCCCGGTGGGCTTATTGTATCGCGATAACAAGAATGTGGCGTTCGGCGTGGATATAAATGGCGGAGACATTTTTCAGCACTAGACGTGGGGTATCAAGGATCGTCAGGCGACGGTAACTCGATCGAACGCCGGAACGCGGCACTGAGGGCAATTTGGAGAAGGCGACGACAGCGAAGAGAGTGTGGGTGTATTCAGCGGACACTGTGGGAGGTTACTTCACAGCCGGACTGACAGAGGTGGAGCATTTCGAGCGATATTCTGCAGGAATTAACGTTAGCTAAATGGGCGGTGGAAGGAGGTAGTAAAAGAAGAGCGGACATCGGCGCACCTTGGCCCGCCATAATCTGCTCAAGTCCTATATCCTGCCTGTGTAGCCCTGCCACCTCCTTCCAATCTTCTCGAGTCTACCGGCCTTGGGGTCGAATATGGATCCGGAGCTACAGAAACCATGGTCAATCCAGTAAGTAGCGCGTCAAGCACGCAACAAGTTACAATACACAATGTTCGCGTAAACGAGAGGCTTGCGCGAATGCCAAAAACAAAAACAGGGCATTTGAGCAAGGAGGAGCCGCGGTTCGTGTCGTCGTGGTGGAAGAGCAAAGCCAAGAAGTGGGTGGTCACATGCGTCGGCCCGATCATCCTTGCTTCTTTCCCCACGACAACTACCGCTCGACGCTGCTCTCGAAAACGCCCTTTAGACCGCGCGGCCTCCTGTACCGAGCACAGCACAGACTTTTCTGCTCTCCGGGTGCGTCATAATCCTGCGCTGCCTCCACTTTTGCTGACGCTTCTGGCCGGCCGCCTGTTTTGCTGCTTGCAGGACTTGCACAAATCCGGGCTGAGTCTGACAGGGGACTACGGAGACGTGGCGCGTGCTTGTTCGACAACTCACGAGGGACTCTGAGCAAGGGGGGACGATGACGCAACTTTTTCCCCCCGAAAATGGCCGGTGTGGGGTACTACTTACTGGGGACACACGAGGTACGTTCATACTCGAATCTAAGCTATCGCCCGACTCTGACCAGCTCTGTCCCTTTCTTTCCTTTCCCCAAAGGCTCCGAGTCTTGTCCGAACACACCTTATCATTGTCGCCTCAAGTACTCGGCCATCCGCAAGAGAGTTGTTGCCGGATACTGCCAAGTGCAGCCTTGCCTCAGTAGGTGCTTTTCCTCACTGGCCGGTCATCACGGTGCTTACCCGCGTATCTGGATTTTTCTCGTTTGACGTAGCTCTATAGCCTTTCAACAATCGTTCTTGTCGTCGAATATGGCGCCAATTCCCCCACACGAATATCTTCTCTCCGAGTCGCTGGCCTTTCACACCCCAACAAACGGCTTCCAGCACCTCACCTCCCATCGTTCCAGAATGATTCGCTCGCCTCGTTCTCGACACCACCTATGCTCTCCTCCTCCTCCTCCCACATCCTACAGCGTTGTCCTCCGAGTCGGCCATCCTGTGACCGTTCAATCGTACTTGTGGTCTGCTGAAGTCCTTTGCTTCCCCCCAGAAACGACCTGCAGTCCACGAAAACCTGTCTCCGCCATGTTTTAGTGCAAACGTCGGCAATATGCCGATCCACTTTTATGAGTCGCAGCCTCTGCCAATTCAAAACTACGACTTGCCCGACAACTATCCATGCTCCTCTTCTATGTCGATCTCCTCGGTACCCATTTGACGTCTCCGTTTGTCGTCCCCTTCGCCATGTCACCATTCCGACGCTATTTCTGTTGCCGCAATCTAACGCGGGTTGAAGCGAGACATGGACCGTCCGGAAAAACGATATCAGCACTTCGCGCCGCTGAATTCGACTGCTAATATCGCGAAAGATGGGCATAGAACCCATATCGCTTCCCCGGCCTTCTCGACCTCTCGCATTTCAGCCAAGAAGTTTCCCGATAACGACCTGCATTCTTCTGTCAGAGCCATTTGTCTCGCCCCATTCCACAACCTTGTTAAATGTTGCTCTCGAGCCCATTCCAGCCTTCCTCCTCTTGATGGTCCCGTTCACCTTGCTCCCTTCCTCGTCTGTGGGATGACCTTATTACACGATGCGGCGAGTTTGTGTACTTACAAAAAGCGTCGCAATACCGATGAATACCCTCCACTCCCTCTTTTAACAGCCAAATGTTGCTACAAAAACGACTTCCTTTGCGCAGCCTTCCGCGGGCCAAGAAACGATCTCCCCGACATCGGATGACATCAATTTCTTGCCCTCGCTCGTCTCCGCGCGATTCCCAGTTTTGAATGTCGCCATACGATTGTTTAATCAGCGCTCTTCACGCCTGTAAACTTATCCTTCCACATATTGTGCATTCCAGCCCGTGGAGTAACTACGACTCCGAGAGGTATAATGTGGCCGTTGTACGTTGGATATGTGACACATGTGTCCCGATTTGCATTTGCTTGAGCACTCATTGATATGTGTGCTGCCCTACTATTTTTTTATCAGTCTTGATTTCTGTTCCTTGATGTCCTCCTGGTTGGCTATTCACTCAGGACGACTCTGTGCTGGCTTTGAACTAAGAGAACTGGACTGTCCATTATACCAGAGAGCTTATAGTGGAGATAACGGTATGTAGACAGCGCGAAGGTGGACACAAACAAGTACGGTAATAGTCGATAGACTCGATACTACTCGAATTCGACGGTCATCCCCACATCCAGCATCGCAGACTTACTTATTGGCGTTGGCGGAGTTGTTCCCGCACTCTGCTCGTTCACAATCCTCTTCCCAGGGCCGGTATAGCTGCCCCGGACGATGACGACAGCGATGAACCACTCCACGCGAGCTTGGACAGCGTCCGCACCGCCCTTGACAAGCCACGAATCGTCTGTGGCCTAGCCCGGAGACCCCCCAGGACTTTCCGGTCAGCAGTGGCGAGAACGTGCAGCGGAGGTGTCAGAGGAAATTCGTTGAAACGAATGAGTGTGGTTCCCAAAGAGCTCAGCCCGGCGATATGTATACGAGCTGTCGTAAAACAGAGTCGAGTTAGTCGACGGACAGCAAAAATGCTGCACGAAGACGCCACCCGTTGTCCCATGGTTCCCAAACTTCGCAAGTGGGGGGCAGTAGGAGCGGAGGCTGGTGTGATATACTGAGGGGGACCGGGCAGGGGACAACGACATCCAGACTGAGGCCTGATCGCAGTTATCGAGCGTGCGTGCGTGTAACGATGATGCTATTAGATGGTGGGGAGATGGATTTCCAAGGCGCAAAAGGCCACGCGGAGGAGAAAGCTGTGTGGGTAATATTCCCAGTCGAAAACGACGGTGATGGTGTACGATGAGTCCAATCTTGTTCGTTGGGAGTATAATGAAAAGATGGTGGCGGGTATGTGAGTTTTGGTGGCGGTATTGAGGCGGGGAAAGGAAAAAACGGCCGAGTAGACGGGGAGGGTCTGCACAAGCTTCGAAACGAAGCCGTCTAATGGCTGTTAAAGACGAGCGCATGCTATCAGAAGGCGAATGATGGCGGGGGAAGTGTTCATTAGGAGAAAAGGAGCCATGAGTAGCGCGGAAGTCGTATGGGCCGAATTGGCGACGTAGGGTTAAATCATTGCAGTCACTGTTTTGTGCGCTTAAAGCTTTTTCTCGCAAAGAGAAGCTTGCCGGACGACATCGAGTGTTGGTCTGCCGACAAGAGAAGACGCTGGGACCGTGCTTGTGGATGCGGAAGGGGGATGGCAATAGCTACCGCAGAAACGAGGCCATAAATCTACTATGGTGTAGCGGCGGGTGATGCAGCAATGTTATGAGATGCCCGGGAAGTCGCTGGTTGGGGTATGAAAGGCAGACGAGGCAAGATATTCCTGTTGCGAGTGTTGGGGCCATATTCGACGACAAGCAGGGATAACGCTGGCCTGCGTGCTTGTAAAGGCGGTATGGCACATGATACTATTTGGGTGTGTTCGTGGTACGGTTTTGGGCCGACAGAAAGGACACAAAGCATAGGACAGGTCCCGAGTTTTGCGCTCCTTGCCCGAAGTGAGGATGGGGGACAGAATTAGCCAGATATCAACGCACCATTGACGCTCGGACCTCCTTTCCAAGCCTTTCCAAGCCCTAGCTCCATTCGAAAGGTGTATTGACCGACTTTGCGAAACGTGCGCCAGCTGGGGTTGTCCCAAACAAAACGACGCGGTATCAGCCTAGTGCAGTCCCAGCGCGTACCCGCGCGTTGTTTTCCGGTTATAGCTGCTGGGAATATGAGGAGAAGAGCTGGGTTGAGGATGTAAGACGGTAAGACGAGTGGAAGGCTTGGTAGTTTCTAGAAGAAAAGCCTCGGGTCAGTATCTGAGACGGCCGGCCAGTCCATAACACACCGTGAAAGCAGTCTAGAGAGCGCCGGCTCAGCCGAAAAACTCCAACGCATGGTGTTCCGCCCACCCTCTTCCCCCATGCGCTCTCACTTGTCCGCCGCCCCAGTCCTTCTTAGCAGATCGAGATGCTGCCTTCATATCAGCATTTAGTAAGTGGTGCTTGTTGTTATGTTGAGTAGGGCTCGATGGTGCGAAAGGCAGAAGGTCGGTTGACGACATGGAGGAAGAGAAGAAAAAGTGATTTCCTTTTCGGGCGATTCTACAATTTCGAGAAGCTTTGGAAATACTTGGGAAATACATCAGGTGTGTCGAGTATGGTAAATTCTTCGCAGATAATGGGTATCCTCGTAAGCACGCCCTTAACTGGTTGTAAACGATCATTATGGATATGTTTCTTGACTTTCTTCAAGTTCCGATGATCAAGTAGCACTAGCATTGCACCAATTCCACTTTCGTCTCCAAACCAAGCTCTCCGATAACTTCAAGAACAGCACCCTTGGCGGTACTGATTTCGGAAATGTTATACGACGCCACGCGGATAGTAAGCAGAGGCGTAAACTGCGCCGCGACCCACGCATGGAAGAGCGGCACCAATGGCTGGAGAGTGCTGACAAGGCTGTTGGGCTCGAGTGGGTGTTGTACATGCTCTGGGCCAACGAAGATTTGTAGAGTGAGCCGGGCGAGCGCGCATTTCGAGTGGACGAGGGATGAGAGAAGGGTAGCTACCCATTCACCAGGGTGGTAGTCGACTACTCTGAAATCGGTAATCAACTCCAGCTGGATCTCCAGTGTTTCAAGCTTCTTGAGATGGCCGAGGGCTAGGTTGCATGTCTCGGCTGAAATGGATGAGCGCGAGTGGAATTGCCGATGAAAAGAAGAGTACGAACTCTCCTGGTGCTCCAAGGTGATGTTCAGCTGACGGAGAGCATGGGTATGAAGGAGAAATACGGATTGCATTACTTCTTCACAGTCCTTGTCTCGCAGAACTAACTGCATGCGCTGAAGACATGGGACTTGCACCAAGGACTGGAGAGACTCCACGAATTCGTCGTCATCAGTGCTAAGGAGCAATCGCTCGAGTTGAAGCTTGTTCAAGGACTCCTCTTGGTGCCCGTTCAACAGCGCTTGGCTGCAGTTGACGTTGCACAAAGACATCTCCCGCAGTTGTGGGCGACCACTGGCAGGCGGACATAGAAGTGCGTGCAGCTCCAGCAGACTCGAAAAACAGAGCCCGCGGAGGGCCACCGCGGTGACTGTCGTCTGCGCTAGGGTGCGAGCCAGCGCTGCCCGTGCAGGCTCAGGAAGTGTTGACCAGTCGAGTGCACTTTCCGCGGGACGGGCGCCCTGCAGCTCTGAATCCAGAGTGACTGTGACCAGATTCTGAAAGCGAAGAAGGACCCGGGCCAACTCGTCTGCAGTAATCCAGGCAGGAATGCCCTCGTTGGGACCACCTGCGTCAATAGTGAGATTTCGGACATGGTCACTGATATGCGGGGAGGTCGCCAGAAGCGCGTCGAGGCTAGCAAGAGCAAGGCAGTCGTCCTGCCAGGACCGTGAGGACGGCAAGAGCTCGAAATACTCGAACAAGAGTGCCTGCGCTGGAGCGCAGAAGCCCCGCGAGACAAGTGAGCACGCTTTCAGTGCCCGGGTATCGTCGACTGCCGCTATGATGACGTTGATGAGCTCTTGCGGGAACGCCGGAGCCGTGTCTGAGAGTAGTCAGAATCACTACTGCTGAGCTCGCTAGGGGTGAACCTGAAGCCATGGAAGACAGCAGCCAGAGGTGGTGGTTGGAGGCAAGTGTGATGTTGGTCGATTGGCCATCACTTCTTGGAGTGCCTTAGCAACAGCCGGCGCTGCTGCCGGTAAGGCCCAAGTTTCCCCAATGGCCCGGCCGTCAAGCAGTCGGAGCTGTGGGAGGTGAATCTGAACCACTGGAATGCGGCACGGTCTAGTTTATCCTTCGGGACTTGCACTGGATTGGCGCGAAACGGAGCGCGGGAGAAAGAAGTCACTCAGTCATAACTTATAAGCAATACACACTTGAGTGTCTACTGCGGGGAGACCACCTCCATGGGTGGCGCCCGCAATCAGGCTACTAGATCCCAATTGCAACGCTTTTCTTCCCCGTCAAGCGCCAGCACATTGTGCTCAAGGTCAGGTGAACAACTCGAAATAGCGTTCGCTGCCTTGTCCGCGATGCGGAATCATCGTCTCCAAACTCCGGCGGGAGATGGAGTATCGCGAGAGAAAGGAGCAGAGACTGGTAGGAAAGTCAAAGAAATGCAATGACGAAGATTTCCGCTTCAGACCCAGTTACTTCAGACATCGGGACGCAGAATATGCATGACACAAAGGTTGGGGGAAGGAGGGCGCCAGATACGGCGAGACAGCCGTGGGGAGGAGGAAGGGTATGGCGACATTCGAAATGGGCGCACAGAATCACGTTGGGACAGGCGAGGGTGATAAAGGATGATGATTCGATGTTGGGAAGGTTGTTTGTTGGCGTACGAAAGACTGCGAAGAAGCGGTTGTATTCGATCGATATTTGGCAGTCGGAAGAAAGAACGAAAAGGATAGGCCGGCGGTATGGGGTCCTGCTTGAAAACCAGAGCCAATGTTAAGGTTCCGCCACAAACGAGGAAGCGAGATTGGCGGACAGGACCAATATGGCCAGGAGGGGAGCAACGAGCTCGAAAGCGAGGCCACTGGCATCGAATGACGACGGAATCAACGGGTATGATTGGCGAGTGGTAATGCAATTCGGGAATGACGTTAGTCGAGATCCAACAGGCCGAGACTGCTGTGGAAGCGATATGGGCCGTGTCACCATCTTTCGCAATATCGGCGGTCGGTTTCAGGAGCTTCAGGTGCCGATATCGTTTTTCCGGATCGTCTTTGTCCCACCTGAGCTGGTGTTGAGCTCCAGCAGCGAAAACGGGGCAGGAGATGTTGATAGTGTGAGGGTGCCGAGGAAGGGGACGACGAGCTCGCAAACGGAGCCGTCAAATGAGGAGAGAGTAGATGGCCGTGCTCAAGGGAGATGAATAGTGAATGGGGAGGTCGTGGTTTGAGCCAGAAAAGGCTTGCAAGCCATGAGGAAGGCCTATCGGCCGCATGAACAACATTTTCACTAGAACGTCGATGCGACAGCGTTTTGTAGGACGCAAGTCCTCTCCGCCTTCAGTGTAGACCTCCATAGTACGATGGGTACGTTTTGACGGCCAGCAGATGGCGAAAGACTGCATGATATGATGGATGAGGAGGAGGGCATTGCTGACATTGAGAAGGACGCAAGAGGATCGTTCTGGCGCGGCGGCGGGTTATCGACCGAGAGGAGGTGAGGTGCGGGAAGCGATTTGTTGGGTTGTTAAGGGCCATCGAGGGGAGTTATTGGTGCGGGGGCGATTGGCGCCATTTTCGACAAACGATGGCAGCGGTAACGAGCCGGTATTTCATCGTTGACAAGGGCAGATATAGTCATAGTGCAGAGGAGAAGGTCGTTTTGGGATGAAGGAAGCGCAAAGAATACGGCGCTGGTGGCGCATTTGACGAGTTCTGCAAGAAATGAGCTTGACAATCCGGAAAGCTGGCCTAAAACGCATTTTAAAACCTCCATACAGCGGTGGAGAGTCGCTGTCAGGCCTACGTCGAGTTTGAAGACGTATGGACTTCTTTGGCGGGGAGTAGAGCTCTGGCGAAAAGCAACATGTGTTAGTAAGTGTCTGTACCCACCACTGAATAACGCACCATTGAGAGCACCAATAGCTCTGCATATCGTCCCAGTACCACCCCCTCTGACGCCTCTCTCTGCCCAGCCAGCCCCACCGACCCGCCTTCCGTTCCTCGTGCTTGGCAGCGGTGCCACCCAGTGGCACCCACGTCATCGACCGTGAGGCCCTGGCCAGCCCCGCTCATAGGCTCGTCTGAGAACAATGCGGCGGGGAAGAGTCGACCGCATACAGCGCATTGGCCGGATGGACATGATGGAGCAAGAGAAGAAGACGATTTCCTTTTTTGGCCAGACGGTGGTTGTTCCCGATCGTCACCATGCACCGCGGATACTGAGTTCTACGCGTTTCTTGCACTATGACACTGATATTGCTTCCTGTGGGGCATGCCTTGCTTCGATTTCTAGCTTTGGCACCAACTGTGCCAACCAACAAGTTGACAATCAACTCAAGCGCTTCTTCTGCCAGTGGGTTAGGCTCGTCAGCGCGTCTAGCAGATATATCAAGATACAGACATCGTTTTGAATTCGAAGCAATGAACGTTCAAACATTTTCAGTATACAATAATATTTTTCATTAGGTTCCCGTGCGTCAAACCTCCCCGCACTGCCCGGCTTGTCGTAGTAGATGTGCATCGGGTATCGAAACCCTCACGCCCAGGTTATGGTGCAGGTGAGTCAAGTCGCGCAGGTCCTCTGCCGAAATTCTGTGTGGTGCCACTGGCAGGTCAACGACAAATTGAGTGAGTTTCACGCCCGCACCCGTCTCTGTAGCCATTAGCCTTAGGACGCGTCAATTGACGCAAATGCATTAGCCTTCTCCGCCTTACTTGCCTACGCCGTCAGTTGCCTGGCGCATTAGCCTAAGTTCCTCGCCCCATTTGGTATGTCACATCATTTTTGTGGCTTTCTTGTGCGCTCAACTTCAGCCCGTGTTCAAGGCCGCATCCCAATAAGGCCTCAAGGGGCCTCTCCCGCCTAATATGGCTCTTCATCAATTCGCAACAAGCTACATCCACGTATATTTACTGCTAAAAGAGGAAAGACAGTGACCCACTTCGTCACATCCCAAAAATCTACTTGAGGACTCGTCTTTCCGGGTCAATTTCATCAACTATGTCGACCCAACGTCGCCCTCAGACTCAGAGTGCCCTCACTACCACTCGTGATTCTCGCCCATTCTCACGCTCCAAAATCTCCCTGCTCAGTTATGAGCTTTTCCTTCACATCTTCCTCCTTGTTTTGCGGCCCTGCGGGTGGGGAACGGACGCACAGCAGCGCGGCTACCTACGTGGCGTCAGTCGGGCGTGGAGGAACTTGATGGACAACAGTCCTACCCTCTGGGCCGATCTCAACGTCTCTTCCGCGTTTGGCCCAAACTACCTGCGCCGCGCCTTCGGTCTTGCGCGAAACGCCACCAAAACAATCAGCGTCACTCTCCGACAGTACTATTATATTCCGACTGGCCAACTCCCCCCTTCTGACCATCGCTTGGTTCATGTCTAGGGCTGTAGGCCGTCGCCGTCATATACGGCGTACGGCCGGCCGTAATACGGCGCCGTAACCGTACCGTAAGGCCCCTTGGGGACCGAGTTGACGGTACGGCGACGGGACGTCGGTGACGCCGTAAGGGCCGTCCCGTATACGGGGACGGTAGCCGTATATACGGCCTACCTCGGCTATCCCGGGATTTGATCCGGACATCGTCGATCCGTCCGGTATCGGACCCCCGGGCGCCCGTTGCTAGGGCCCAGCCGCTGTTGGTGGTCAGCCAACATGGCCAGGACATCACTCAGGCGGCCCTGCACCGCGGGCAGGTGCTTGGCACCGCCGCCCGACCCGGCCCGGTCGCTCGGAGCCCGACTTTGGCTCAGGTCACACCGTGTGACCTGAGCGGCCGTACCGTCACCGTAATACGGCGTGACGGCGCCGTCCCGTACCGTAAGCGCCTTGAACTCGAGGGCTTACGGTACGGCGTGGGGCCGTCCCGGCGCCGTCAGAGGCCGTACCGTACACGGCCGTAGCCGTATACGGTACGGTCTACAGCCCTATTCATGTCCACCCCGACGCCATCTCAGTTATCGGTGCCCTTCTTAGCGAACATGCCCGGTCCATCCAGAGACTGGCAGTAACGATGGACAGTGGGTCTGTTTGGGAATCGCTCCTTCTCGCCCTCCGCGATGACATCAGCTTCACTCGGCTCAAGGTCCTCGTGATTGTGTCTGTCGAAGACAATGAAGACCGGCTCGACATTCTACCTCTCAATGGAGTAACCACTTCACTTCGGGAGCTCGTTCTCGACGACGTCCCCCACCACTATATCACTGGACTCCCTTACGCAAATCTCACGACTCTGGCCCTGAGCGGTTCGGTCGAGCACCCCGGTCCAAAAAAATGCAATCTTGGCAACAACCTTCTCGACGTTCTATACCATTGCCCTCAACTTTGCAATCTCCGTCTCACCGATGCCGACTGCTTACACGACGCTAACGAGACACTTCCGACGGTTACGCTCCCCCGACTGGTCTGTCTGGCTTATTCGTGCAAATGGCCGCTTCATGGCAGGCATCTTTGCGGCCAGGTCATCGCTTCAATCGATGCTCCCAACCTTGACACCATGGCCCTCCATATTGGTCATGCCGATGGCGCCGCCTTGTTCGCTGAGCTCAACCGTTCCAAGCTTGCCCAACTCCGGACCCTCCAGCTCTCTGGTCATTGGTTCCACTATAGCCCAAAGGGAAACCAGATTTTGTTTACCAGCGCCCTCCGCCTTGTCGTGGACGTCGACCTCACACATCTACGACGAGATCCACTTCCAGAAATAGGCGACGACGACCACGATCCCTTCCACGATTTTTTGACTCGTCTCCTCGTTCTCCCGCAGATCCGTTACCTACGGCTGCCGTTCAACAAGTCGGTTTTTGCGAGGCACGACCTCGAGCAAATGGAGCACACCACGGGCATGGTCGCGCAGCATACTGGTCGCAGGCACACCATCGCATATGCCCGCAATGACGATGATCAGTGCAACATGCGAAAGAATTTCACCTGCCCGAACGCATTTCCCCGGGCCTCTTTTTCTTCCCGATTCTCACTCCATGGACCGTGCACTCCTGTCTCCAAATGGTTCGTTATGTGTATTACAAAGTATGCTGACGAAGACTCGGATGAGGACGAAGTGTAGTAACTAGTCAAGTAGTCGACGATCATGTTCCCATCACACAAAAAAATGACAGTTGATTTGATTTATGCCTTTCTCTTTCCGACTATGTGCACCAATGCGGGTAACGATGTCCAAGGCAGGCGCCTGCGCCCCATGGACTATCAAACGGAGTAAGCTGCCATCTACCCCGTTAGTTAAATGGATGCTCACATCTGAATAGGCTCAAGCGCAAACAGGACCGAAACGCGAAAGCCAAGGCACATATGGCCAGGTGCGCAATATCTCCATTCCCGCAGTGTGAGGCTTACCTTGTATCTAGAAAGCGGGCCGCTCTTAAATCTGCTGCACCAGAAATACAGAAACGAGTAGCTGAACGGACTCGCCTGTATCGCAAACGGTATCGAAAACGGTGGGTTTGCTACAGGGATTTCGATTTTTGGAGTAATATTTCTATCAGGCGACGTGACACGTTGCTTGAAGGTGAGGCGAAGCAACGAAGTAACACGGAGGGACACTGGGATGGCGCAGTAGAGTACTGGAGTCGGTTTTGGCCAAACCACCCACACTTCCCTCCCGTCATGCTGGATTACGCGCGATCATCATTTCTTCTCCCTCCTCCTCCGCACCTGCTGGATCCTTCGATGTTGGCATGCCCCATTCCTCCCTTTCCTCCCCAAGTACCACTGCTAGATTTCATGTATCCTTTGCGCCCCCCCTCATTAGATCATCTGTCCCTCGCTTTATCTCCCACTACTTAGGTATCCTTGCTGTCTATTCTCTGCTCTGTGTATTGTACTCGGTCCTTAGCTTGTTGCGCAAATTAGCACCCCAGTTTCTTTCGAGCCAAAATCCGATTTGATAATGTCATGAGCATGAGTAAGCTACTGATTAGTCAGCGACAGTCTACACGTTTCCGACGTCCTCGAGCTTTTGGAACATCTTTCGACCGCTTGCCGCGCGTAAGTCTCTAGCCTTGGTCCACTCATGAAGGCGTTTGCGCGATTTAGCGTCCCGCATCGTCTTCGCTTGGAACTCCAGCTCCCGATCCGCCATCCCTCCTTTCTGAAGCCACCGCACAACAGACGAGTGCAGAAACTGCGAAAAGACGAATTGCTTCTCATCGGGCGCGACCGGGACGAAACTATATGCCTGGGCTCCAGCAGGAATGAGGAAGGTGTCGCCACAACGAACGGGTATGATTCGATGCTCCCCATGCATCATTAGATGCCCTCCGTGGTTCGATTTCCAATCGCCCAGAAGGGTCATGGCCAATATATCGGTGAACCGCACATCCCATCGTTTCTGCGGCTGTGCTGAATCCTCGCCAAGAAGTCGCAACTCGCAGGTTGAGAAGATCGAATGTGTGGAGGGAGGGATGAGCTTTTGGTGGGAGAACGTTCTGTCCATTTCCACTGACATAGCACTGTAGATGCCAGGGAAAAACTGCAAGGCCAATTCTATCACGAGCATAAGCCTACATGCGGCTATGGATCCAGAGAGAAAATGCTCACCCCGTTGGTACTCCGCGATACGAAGTATCCCAGGATTCTTCGTCAAATCGTGGCCGGTAAAATCGGTGAGAGACAACGACTTAGTGATAGTCTCAGCGGTCTAACGCCTTCGATCAGCGCATTCACGAAGCACCCAACACCAAACTCACGGCGTCTATCCCTTCCCGGAAGCCGAGACCCCAGCACAGTGGGCCTTCATCGAAGCTCCCGATCTCCTGAAGAAACCCCAAATGCCTTGTTATGTTGCGACAATCAATTTCCCACTCGTGAGCCTGGGTCGATGGCCCTCTTGTCATAACGGACGTTAAGACATTTTGTGAGTCAAGAAATGGCGTTGGGAGCGTTCTAAAATTTGTCAAAACAGGTCTTTGTGCACAAGAACAGATGGCTCACGGATGCGGAATGGCCTTGACCAACTCGTACTGGCGACGCAAAGCGAGGAGGAGCGCAATCTGAACTTGACGTTGCTTCACTGAAGAAGCCTCAGCACTAGTTGCGCCGCCACCTGTTGACTTCTTCGCCATCTCGGAGATGCGAGTCGAGCGGCGTAAAACCACGTCACTGGTCAGTGACGCTGTCGCTGTAGCCGGGCCATTGTCCGAGGTCGCACTTGAGGACGCAGAAGACCCAGCGATGGAAACGCTGACGCTGGCAGTCCCGTTTGTCGCCGTTGCTGTTGCTGTGGCCGAGACGAGAGGAAGGAAGGTGCGATTTTGGCGGCCGGCATAGGTTTTTGGCGATTTACGAGCTGGGGAAGAGGATGGAGTCCAAGGCAAAGTCGACAACGACTCCCAAAACGCTTCGGGTGGTCCGGATATTACGGCGAGTCCAGTATCCTCAGGTGAATGTGCCAAGATTTCTTGCTCTTGCTCTGGGGTGAGCGGCGCATAATCCGGAGGGCGCACGACCTAACGGAAGCACTCGGTCAGTTCTTGTGTGTACATTGGAAGGTTAAACACTAACCTCTCCACGATAGCACTCGTCATTATCCTCCATGAACTTCATAACCCGGTTATTCAGCTCCATTTCATTTCGAAGGTCCAAGTAAGAGCGAGCAAAAATGGGCTGTGCAGGTGGGTCGCGACGAAAATAGATTCTTCCATCGACTTTTGAGCGAGAGACAGTTCGTAAGCTGGACTTGCGCGGGCTGGGCTCGGGGGCCCGTTTCGGTGCAACGTGTTTGGAACGCGAACTAGGCATTTTTTTTGGGGGGAAGGACGAGACGAGGGCGGGCGATTCGACACCAAAAAACACGCAATACGCTGGGTTGTCTTGTCAGTAAATTCGGTTCCACGGCTTTAAGCCGATTTCATTCGTGCTGATGGAGCATTAGGCTAAAAGCACGGTAAATGACACACCTGGCAATTGACGCAACTGAAGCAAGGAGTTCATCACTAGGAGGATTAGGCTAAAGCACGGCAATTGACACAACCGACAATTGACGCAGCTCAAGAAACGATTCAACACAAGCACGCAGTTGTTATCAATAGCAGTGAGCACCAACACTTCCCCGGATCGACTACACTCTGACTCTTCTTCCAGTCCAACTCCTCCAATCAAGTGTACCTCTCTCTTGCTGCTGCTTGATGTCGCTCACTAGGGGTTTTATCCAGAGCATGCATTTTCTGCCTTGGGCCCGAGCCTGGGTCATCCGGTTGGGTATCTTGCTCAAGCAAACTCTCTGTCGACGCGAAAGAGCTTCCAGTCCTCGCTTGGAGGGTGGGACGGCTATCCATCATACTGATGGGGAGGGTGTCGAGACGGCTTGGGTTGTGGCTCTGCAAAAAGAGGCAAACGAACCTACAGTGCGTTCAATATTTGGTCCGTCATGACCCTTGCTCAGCATCCATAGTTATAGATCCCAATTCAGAGGTCGTTGTAGGCAGTTGGCTCATCACATGAATATTATTTTGACTTGACTTATCGAGGCATTGAGTTATCAGTCACACAAAAAGGTCACCGCAGCTTCCATCCACACCTTGGCTTTAACCATGACTGTTACGCGTAACACAAGGCGTTCGCGGGCCAACGAGGAAGGTGAGTTTGGCACTCCTTTCATTCCCAGCGCGATATTAACTGTTTTATGGCCTCATTGCCTTGCATGTCCTTGGTCAAGGCATCTTCCGCTCACTCTGCGCACGACAATGACCAAGGTGCGTTTTCCTCTAGCGTGCTCCACGAGCACTCAAATATGTTTTTTGGCAGCTTCCAGTCCAGACGACAAAACTATGAAGGACCCGTTCTCCTTCTTGGAGCGGCGGTTGCCTCAACCATATCGCCCATATCTCACTCTCCAGCGTGATGAACGTGGCCAGGCGACGCTACTCATATCGGACTATCCTGATTTCGCTCAACTCCGCCTGAAACCTCCCCGATCGGGGACCCAGCACCATGGGTGGCGTCGTTCGACTCTTCGGGGGGTTCTTCAAGAGCGTGTTCTGTGTTCGGGCAGCAAGCGACCGCCATACCTGGAACCAACGTCTCGCCACCACAAGTGCACAATCTGTTCTGCCGTCAAGACGCATCCGGTAACGTGTGTGTTCCCGGGCCGCCACTGAACTATCGCATTGACAAATCGCAGCTCCGATTGTGGCCACACTCACTGCTATGTGTGCATGCGCATTTGGCTGCAACACCGATGGGATTGTCCCGATTGTGGAGTAACCATTCGCGGTCCTCCTGCTCGTAATTTTGATCTTGAGGCATGGCTTGCTTCGGCATACCCGCAGATCGCTTTGACCAGAAGCCAGGTTACGTATTCTTGGGCGGGCCTTATTTTCCCGACAGCTTGACCAATTAACAATACAAGTGCAACAAGTACTTCTATCCCAGTAGTTCTATTCATTTCAATACAAATGACCCTCGTTAAGACTCCCTGACCGGAATGTGCATGATTTACCTGACGACGCGTCAATTGACACGGTAGGCAATTGACCGATAATATGCATGATCTACCTGACGACGCGTCAATTGAAGCAGGAGACAATTGACGCAGGAGACAATTGACGCGAGGGGACAGGACGCGCCGCTGGTCGATGACAAGCACGTGCCTGATTGATGTCACGCTCTGTGACATCATCACACTGCCAGCTCACGATCCCGACGATGCGTCAATTGCCTGCTGCGTCAATTGACGCAGCAGGCAATACAAAATTTCCCTGAATCCATCGCGCTCTCTTCACATTCCTCACCGCCCCGTCCGTCCCAATTTCCTCGCGATGCAACCCCGACGAGGCCGCTCCACTCGACCTTTTCTGGACCTGGACGTCGGCCGCATCGTTCAGAACCACACGATTATCCACACTCGTGATACCTTTTTGGGACCGGGCGGTTTTAGTCATCATGGAGGCTCCACGGTTCACTTCGTCAAACGACCGCGGATGGAAGTGGAGGGAGACTCCTTCGCCACTTTCCAGCCAATGCCTTCGACCGAGTCAACGACGACTTTGGAACAAGATGACCTGGGCGACGAAGAAGTAGAAGGGTCTACTGGGCAAAAACGCAAACAATATGTCAGCTCGGTGCGTCCATGTCCCCATCTCACCTAATGCTTCTTGCTAATTTCGTCGCAGAGCAATCCCATGTCGCAATGGCGGCCTATGAAGGGCCTTTTCCTCGACGAGATCCTCCGTCATGAAGGCCTTGGAAACGATCTGGGAAACCCTGTCTGTGCTCATTGTCAGACTGCTTTCCACCCAGGGTCGCCCTCTGGCCCCCGCTTCTTTCGCTGCGAGGATTGTGGTCCTCACCTGCAATGTCTCGATTGCTGTCTCGCTGTACATGAAAGGTTTCCGCTTCACAGTTTCCAGGTACAGAGTCATCGCATTCCTTCTTACTTACAAGCTAACCAATTCTTATAGGAATGGAACGGAAACTTCTGGACCGCATGCTCATTGAATCAACTAGGATACATCTACCAGGTTGGGCATGGCGGATTCTCTTGTCCACTTCCAGATGGCGTCGTCCACTCGCTGACAATTGTCGACCTTCCCTATATCCACACACTCCGCATTCGCTACGGCAACTGTTCTCGCTCTCGACATGCCACCAAAGTCTCTCAACTGCTTCGCAACCTCTGGTATCCGGCAACAGTCATCGAACCGGCAACCTGTATAACTTTTCGGTCTTTGAAGGCCTTCCGTCTATTCAACGTCGTTGGCAATCTGAATGTTACCGATTTTATCACCTCCTTGGAGCGCATGACCAACAGCTTGGCCGTGTCTGGTCTTGTGTCTATCCCGGTTCGTAGCAACCTTGCACGCTCGTCTTTGTACTGACCATTCCTGGTCAGGAACGGAGTCGACAATTCCAGCGCATTTCCCGGCAATGGTCCTTCTTACAACGTTGCAAGAGGTCCGGTCGTGGGCATGATCCTGCCGACCTCGACGCCACTCCCCTCGGCACATGTGCAGTGAATTGCTGGGCGTGTCCACATGATGGCCGAAACCTCCCCGTCAATTGGAAGTCTGCTGATCCTCGATTACAGTGAGTAGAGTTATTGTTTCCCCTTCGTCTACTTATCCTTCACAGGTTTCTCTATATGCTTATTTTGGCGATGGACGCAAATTTTCGTCTCAAAAATCGTATTCGTGCAAACGAAATCAATGATCCTCCCCTAGGCCCAGGGTGGGCTTACTGGGTAGAACCGTCTGCCTACCAAGCCCACGTCCAAAAATATGTGAGCGAAACGGACGTAAGCCACAAAGTCACATCTCACACTTACCTGCTAATCAATCATTCAGATGTCTACTTGTACAGCTTTTGCGGCTCTGCTCCAAAAAGACACTCGCATGACAACAGGACTCCGTGTTTCTGGAGTTGGCGGTTGTGTCTGTGCTCGTCATGAGTGCGTGCGACCTAACGGTCTCGGGGATTTGCAGAAAGGGGAAAGGTCAGGTTTTGCAACCACCAAGTCGTCGTCAACTCATTCGAGCGCAGGTACTGCAATATGGACTGGATCCTGTTTTCGGCAATTATGGGGGTATGGTTATTGTTCCTTACCATCTCTTATGATATCGCTTGTCAGTGGAAGCTCCATCTTCGCGAACGAATGGCCCGACTTCCAACCGAAATGCGGGTCGACCTCGACACCATCACTGTGCAATTCGGCCTACCAGTATGGCACCAAGAGTCACACAAGGGCGACTGTAAAGAGAACAACAGTCTTAGCTATAAAAGTGGCGTTGCGAAAACCGATGGTGAAGGTGTGGAACGTGTTTGGTCTGGTCTCAACCCTGCCGCTCTCGCCACGAAAGAGATGGGCCTTGGGAATCGCGCTGATGTACTGGACGACCGTATCGACAATCATAACTTTTTGAAGAATATGACACTAGGTTGGTGGTTTTTCTTTTAGTGAAAATTTTTGCTCTGATTAGTAACAACTTCCAGGCAATACTTTGCAGCGCCGGCTTGTCGTGGCCCGTAACGAACGCGGCCGTCAGGTCAATGCCTTTCAGGTCGTCAATGATGGGATTGATGCCGAGTTACAACGAACCTGGAAGCGTCAAGTTCGCGAATGGGAGCAGGATAACACGCGCCCTAATCCGTATGTTCTCCCCACCCAAGGTAACTCACTGCTATTGTCTACTTCTCCTTCCTCATTTCAACTTTCGTCAGGTTTTCCCTCCGAGGCCGAGATTCGCTTGGAACTACAGCAAGAGGAGCGACAACATAACATCGACGGGCGAGCGTTTATCGCGGGAGGGAGTGCTACCTCTTTCCTATCTGCAGGTCTTCAAATTGAAGATTCACAGTTTGTCATTTAACTCTTATTTCTACCTCGGCCTGACGTGTCTGCAGGTTCAGGATCCACGAATTCAAGCGCGAGCATGTCGTCTTGACCGCAGATCACCAAGCCAAACTAGAAGAAATACGTGGCGCCGTACTCCGCAAGATCGCTCGATTTCGTGAACTCCAGCATGTGTATATGCCTGGTGCGGCAGCCGTCATTGCAGAGAGTGAACTCCGGCGCGACTCCGACGCAGCGCCACCGTCTCCTGAAGACATCCCCTTATTCATGCCGAGCCAAATGCCGAAGGGACCGGCCAATGTGGTTATCGGCTGTATCGTGGCCTTGCCTGAAATCGAGGAACGCTTGCGAGTTGCGCAATGCCAGAACTCGCTCAGCCAACTACGATTCAAGCTACACAGCAAACGATGGCTCGTCGCTTACCGCAACGCTAATCTTACTGGCCAACACCAAACGACCAAAGCGGTCAAACTTCTGCAAACCGTCACCGAGCGAGCAAACAGCATTGCATCCCGATATCGCCGTGGGTATCTCGCTCTCCAGTTACTGGGCTGTTTATCCAAGTACCCGGCACTTCGCGAGCTCAAGGACGAGCATATCCGTCTACCTGGTGATGAAGAAGCGTCGGACATCGAGGCGCGCAAGAAACTGGCATCAATAGGTCCTAGTCGTGGCGCCCGTATACCTCGCCACCTTACGAGTAAATCGCGGCGAGTCATGTCGTGGATTTGGACGGCTCCTGGCGCATTTGACAATGAAGAAGAACAATTGCATACTTGTCAGTGTTATTCTTCTCATATGTGCTCATCCTTAATCCTTTAACTAGCTATGAAAGTGGAGTGGGCGAGGGCCTTCGCTCGCAAGACGCGTTGGAACGAGGAAGTCATGTTGCTGGAAGAAGAGATGCGGCGAGTCCTAAGATATCTCGAATGGGAAGCGAAGTGGTGGCGAGAGCAAAGTCAACGAAGGGAGAATCTGGAAGCGGAGTTGAGTGCCGGTCTCCATGCTTATGCGCTCAAGTCGGCCGCAGAGCGAGAACGTGTATTGGGTCACTTTCGGCTGAAATGGCAGGCCAACGAGAAGAGTGTACTCAACGAATTAGAGACCTTGGCAAGTATCGCTAGTCTTGAAGAATAATATAGGATATTGTTCACTTGAATGAGTTCAAAGGCCCTATCACGGTATCCTTGTCCAGTCCTGTGTTGTTTGCGACATGCCCCAGGCTTCAGCAGAGAAATGTGTCGGTAACTGATAGTTTGTGACGAGAACTCATGGTGCCCGGTTAGCATAGATGTCGAGAACTAATCATTACTAGCGAGAACTCGTCGTGTAAGAATCGGGAACTCATCTTTTAAGGCGAGAACTCGTTGGGTAAGTATCGGAAACTCATCTTTTAAGGCGAGAACTGATCTTGAATCCACTCTCGCGGCTGAACACGACAATAGATGAGCCTCAAATTTTGGGATGTTATTCTAGGCTACAAAATGGACTTGTGGGCCAACTTTGAATTTTTTGAGGAGTAAAAAAATCATAACAAAATAGTATCGCTGTGAATACCCTCGGAATTTCTCAGAGGCATGCGCCAGTTGCGTCGGCACTCTCTCAAATATTTTCAGGATTTTTAGAATTTTCCAAGCCCCGCAACAAGACAATTCATCCGAATAGTTGTCGTGAACTGATGTCTCAGTTTACCAATTATCACGCTAGACAAACTATGATTCCATAGGAGAACTCCAACCCGGCAGGTACTTTCTCAATGAACACACCAAATCTAGTTCATCTCTCACAAAATTTGGAAGAGACTGAAGCAATTCCTCCATGTTTGTCTCAAAGCTTATCTCCACTTTCGATTTCAAGTTCACGGTTACAGCTGCTGAATTCAGCCTGAGCGAAGTGCCCCTCGAGTTGTCCAACAATCATGCATGGTAGTGTGGACTAGTTTATTCTCCATAAAGTCGGCACTAGACTGAACTAATGCCTCGCCTCCATGTTTGTGTCTCATCTCCACTTCCGAGTCGATATTGAAAGTCATGGCCAGCAAACTCAACTGCCGAAGTGACTGTGAATCAACCCTTACATAACTCACACTTTTTGGACCAGACCATCATCTGTTCATGGGCCGCAAACGATTATCCTCACCAGAGCGTGCTCGACGTCGCCGCGAAAGCCAGGAGCGATATGAGAAGAAGTAAGTTCTCGTTCTCGTAGTATACTACTCGCGCACGCGTGATGCTGACGATATTCAGGAAGCACCTTCAAAGGCAACAAGCTGCATGTGCCCGCATGAGAAGGTATGCATTTCATCCCTGCTTGCACAGTTTTACATCTCAAAATGCATGCAGCTTCCGCGAGAAGCTCAAGGGAGGCGACGAGACCGCCATTGCTCATCATCGGGAACGAGCAAACGCAACCGCCCGCGTCTACAGAGAAAAGTAGGCTAGATTTCCCTATAATCGGAGACACAAGATAGCTCACCCGCTTTACCACTATGAGGTACCCTGAACGCGTCAAGGAGAGTCAAAAGCTTTACAGGGAGCGCAAAAAAAGCCCAAGCTTCGGAAGCTCACCGTCACCGTCTACACTTTCCGAGTCGATTCAGAAAACATCAACGCCAACACGAGCTGCCGCGAAAATGTCTTTGATAACGCCAATTCAGAATCGTTTTTACGGTGTCAAGTGTCCCAACCCAAGATTTCTAGCACCGGCGGACGCGGACGACTCAGACTCAGACTCCGACCCACTCTCCGACTCCGAGCTGCTGAGAACCCCAATACCTATCGACAAGAAGCTAGCGCGCCAGCGACTTGACGAGCTCAGCAACCGACGGAAGTCTTTCCGCAACTCTCTGCCAGTGCCGGCCCGGGCTCCTAGGCGGCGGCCCCATTCTCTATCTGGCAAGGCCAAGGGGTTATCAGACGGCCCAGACGGCCGCCAGCGTGAAAGGGCGGATCGCAAGAAACAAAGCTTTGCGGTGTCCCGCACTGGGATGTTGCAAAAGCTGACAGCAAACCCAGCACGACAGCACGGCCCGACGACAAGTTCTTCGCGGGATAACTTGAAGATGGCGCACTTGCAGTCTGGCCCGTCGTACTCAGAGTGGATCGACAAACACAAGGAATTTAATCGGCGCAAATGGGATTTCTCACGCGCGCCCACCCCCAAGGGGCCCTGCTGCTTCACTGCTTGCGACGAAGCGTCTTGTCCGGGATGTGCTTGTGTATGCCCGGGCACACAGGTTTGGATTGAACACTGGGGAGGTCATCATAGAAGTCCCCCTCGTGGCTGCGTCTTTGGGTGACTTTTTTTTAATGATTACTTAGTCTACTTTTAGAATAATAGTCAAATGATATTCGATGCAAATTATCCCACCCCAACGTTCTTGCAAGACAAATTCAGATTGTTAAATGCGCACCATCGGTTCTCAACGAGCTCCAGTTGGAAGAATATCAGACCCGGTTGCCCCTGGATGCATAACACCATGGCGCTAAGGTAAGCGCGCGGAGTAATCCGCTGTCAGTGGTGAAAATATTAGCTACGGAGACCTCGCACTGCAAAACTCACCGCGCTTTTGTTGGATGGAGCGAGACTGGAGTATGAAGTACGAGGAGTTCGCTAACCGTCCGCGCCATTGACAGCCTTTTCCACTACATCTATGGTGTTTGAGGAGGTCATGTCGAGTTAGCATGATGCGAGGCTCGGGCCGATGACTTTCATCTTACTTTCATCCACGGAGGATTTACTGACATTGAGCCGAATTGATTGAGGATGTAACGCATGGCGGCAAGGTAAGCGCGCACGGAGTAATTCGGACATCTATGTGTTTGAGGGGTTCTGTCGAGTTGGCATGATGGGCGGCTCGGGCCGATGACTTTCATCCACGGAGGATTTACTGAGTGTTGATAGATAAATGCGCACCATGTGTCCGGTAAAACCATTGGACGGGGAAGTCAGAGTGAAGCGAAGCCAAGAAAATGGACCCAAACTCTGAGTACTCCAGTCAAAAGCGACACATCACCTGGTGGCCCAGTGGTGGGGAGGCTTCAACTTGTTGGAGGCAGGCAAGAGGCAGGTAGGGCGAGTTAGATGATGGTGCAGCGGCAACACCATTCAGAATAACTTAGCCAAGAGCAGTTAGGTCGAGTTCGCGTGATGATGTTCGGGCCGATCAGATTTGTAAGATCTGGAACATCCGCGGAACTCTCAGCCAAGGCCCAAAAAAAGAAGACAAGACGCAAAAGTTTATTGACCGTAGATACAGCGACAAAATATCTACGCGGCCCTGACTACAAGCTGATTGAACTGGTACGCTGAATTGAAATGGCTCAGGGCCGCACTCTGAGTGGAAAACTTGAGCAAAACGTTGCTTTTTATCCCAGTGGTGCAGCTGTACGCGAGCGGGTGGACTGTCGTGATGCCGACCCTGCTGCCTGTGGTAACAGCATACCAGCGCTCCGTTTCCGCTTCAATGTTGTCTTCGTCAGCAGCGACAAGAGGAGCACCTCGGGACATACCAGATGAAGCAAGCGCACGCACAAACAGATGCGACACCTTGTAGTTAGATGCGACACGTGTCCTATCTAAGCATCAAAATCAAACATTTGATACAGCAAATTTCGATGATACAATCATAATATGATGATAAAGGAGATGGCAACAGTTGGTATTTTATCTTGTTAGTATTTATTAAGTTGGTTAGGTTCAGTTAGTTAGGGTTCAGTTAGGGTTGGTTAGGTTCGGTTAGGGTTGGTTAGGTCTGGTTAGGGTTGGTTAGGTTCGGTTAGGGTTAGTTAAAGGTTCGTTTAAGGGGAAAGGTACATTATATATATGTTGTTGGGGATCATTTCAGTCTGATGGGACAATCAATGTATCATACGTAATATTGAAACAGAAGCGACACTTTAGTAATATGATGCAGCAGGTGTCGCATCTGTTTTTGCGTGTGCTGGCTTCATCTGTACAATACTCGGAGCACCTGGGACAACCGAGTAGAGGCGGCCCACAACCCAAGGCCCAGTGTTGCGGAGCGGATAAGTTGGCCGAGCAGAGTAGAGCCCGGCTGCGTTGGGCACATCGGGATCGACAGCCGGAAGGCTATTGGCAGCACCGCCTGCGGCTGCATCAACTGTGGCATGCCAGGCGGGCGTCAAGGTGGCGGCGGAAGCGCCGAGGGCTGGAGCAACCGTGGTCTGCGTGACGGTGGAGGCCGGCGGCCAGGTTGTGAGGGGAGACGCCACATGAAGCGGAGTGCGAGCCATCAGGTTGCTCGCGAGACTCGCAGAGGCGAAGGGAGGTCCAGGCGATGCGAAGTAAGAAGTCGAGTTGTTTGCGGGGCTCGCAGTACCGACAGTGACCGACGACTCCGATGAATTCGAGGACAACTCATCTAAATTGGCTAAGCTGGGCACGAGGACGATGAAGAGCACGTACCGCTTGCAAGCATGGCTTCCAGCTCGAGAAGAGTATCAACTGGCAACGTCGTATGAGTTTGCAAATAGGCCACCATAAAAGAAGCGAACCTGTGAGGCCCGACGACTCGATAACAGCAGCCACAGTGGCACCTGCAAGAGTTCAGGGCTTGACGCCAGGGATCGGAGAATCGTACCAGGCTGTTGCAACGAGCCAATGAGGATACTGACGAGTTGCTGCAGCGCGCGGCAACTCGCTCTTGATCTACGGTTTTGCATGAGAGGGGAAAGGGATGGAGACGAATTCGTACGAGCGCTGGTTGCAGGGGCGCGCGGGGCGCGCGCTCCTGCGAAAGGATGAGAAGGACGGAAAGACATGAGAGTGTGCCAAGGTTGGAAAGACAGCTAGACAAACATGTACAACGCATCGTGTGTCTTTATACACGTTGATTAAGTGAGCCCGATGGATCTGGGCTCTTGCGACGCAGATGCGTTTATGTAAATGTAAGAATAACAAAAAAAAAAAACGAAAACAGAGATCACTCAATCATTGAGCCGGGCTTCGGCAGGGTTGGCGCATAAAATGACCCAAGATACGCCCATGCTCGAGTGTTTCCCCTCCTTATTTGAGCTCCGAGTGGCAAGGCAACAGCCCCGTCGAGGTGCGGCTAATTCTTTTCCTTTTTTCCTCGAATCCGCATCTCACTGGCAGTGTTAGCTTCAGGAAACTGC